AATTTAAAACAATGCTCGCTTGGAAAATGAAGGAACAAATAATTCTTTGATATTTAAATTAAAAAGTAATAGCAACTCGTAACAAACTTACAACTCAACCAAAGGAAATAAAAGTAGATAACTAGAATAAGCTTTGACTCTTTCCGTTCATGGTAGAAAATGTACGCATCCTTAGCTTTGCTGATTAAAAGTTAAATATGATACGTGTCCGTTTTGCAAAAGCAACTTTATTCTATCCTGTGATTATAAATACTTCTCATTATGTTGAAAACACGAACAACAATCCTTTGAAAAATAAACGTAAAAATATTCTATCTCAAGTGAATAAATTTACTAGGACTTTTAAATCTAATCAGAGGCTTTTTATCGGAAATTCATCTACAAGAAATAACTAGATTTTCTTTTGTTTTTCGATCATTAGAATAAAACTTTTTCCATCTCGCGTTTGTGTTTATATAAAGCACAATTCTCTCTGAAAATCTCTAGAAGCGTTCTGTATTCATTACGTCAAGTCTCTTTTATACATTCGATTTGCATTTTGTTTCTTGGCGTCTTCGAGGTAAACGATGAATAATAAATATTGCATCACGCGATTACTGGGACAAATTGTTGGTTTGCTATTTAAAGTAATAATATTTACTTTCCATTATTACTAAAAATAACTTAAGTTCTTTTATGTAAAATATTTCTTGGAGTTTCATTATCACTATATAGAGAAAGTCAGATCTGATCATAGTATAGTCTAGAGATGGGTAACTCACTCCGGAGTTATCACTCGGATACAACTCCTGGTATTAAACTGGTATTAAATCTGTTAACTCGTACATTTAGTGTTTTTGTCGTTTTTGATTTGGGACGGAAGAGGTCACTTTCTTGTCTCGCAGGCAGTTTTATGACCTTTTTTAGGTATAAAAGTCAAAACAAATACTATTGCGTATTTTCCAGAAAATACAAAAATGTTACTTTAAAGATACAGAACCATGAAATTGTATTCAAGTGTGAATAGCTCAAATGTATAATTTATTGAATACTAAGGGGTCATATTTCTAACTACGACAATCTTTGGCCGTAAATGACGGCAAAAATATACGAAACGAAATACATTTATTTAATCTTGTTTTTTCATAGCCTGAAATAACAACACTTTAGAGTACAAAATTATCAGTGATATCATTAGCATTTAAGCAGCAAACATATTCAGTATTATATTATTACTTTTACACAATTATATAATTGTCTAAAAGTAATAACATGCTAATCGAACTACGCGATATAATATTAATTCTCAAATGGAAATAGCAGAAGAAAATTTTCAAAGCAGAAGTATTATGTTTTGCTTTTATTACAAAGTTTACTGCATAATTTTTTATAAAAATTAATCAAAAGAATCAATTATTTTCTCATCAAAAGGAAATGAAATTGAATTTGATTCTCAAGTTTTGCGTTTTTACTCTGGCCAACACTGCTAAAAATACGAGTCACTGAGTCGATCATCTGGTTGACCGAAAATTTTACAATCCGTCATTTATTCGTGAATTTTTTAGAAAAATTATTTTATTGATAATTATTCATAAATTTTTATTTCAAATAATTAATGGGATTTGACAAATCCTTAGATACGTAAACAGCGTACTATAGAACACATTTGTTTTGAGTATTTCGGGTTCAAAATTGTCGGAGTCGTGGAGTTGTTTAGCGGATATAACTCCACCATGAAGCGGAGTCAAATCCGAGTCGATCCGGCTTCGGATATAATAAGCCCATCTCTAGTATAGTCACAATGTCACACATCTGTGAGATCTAATATTTTTAACTTTCCGAAATGAATTTATTAAAGAAATTTTCCCAACTGTATGTTATCTCAACGATTCAATTAATTCGAATAGTTTGACTTCAAAAATGGAAATGTTTATATGTGTGCACAAATATTTAATCATTACTCAACTTTATACCAAAATGGATGAATTATTTGAAATTTCGAATAGGCCTCACATTGATTAGTTTTCTAGACAATGGGCCTATATGTTGCTCTATAATAGCAAAATATTCTGAATCGAATTATAAAAGTGTCTTTAACAAAAACGAATTGTTTCTTCACGCTGTCAACACAAGCAAAATGTTTTATGAATCATTCAAATCGGACAATTTGTTCTCTCAAAAAATACAATTTTTTGCACATATAGTTCAGTATCTCTAAAAGGGTTAGGCCTGTCTTTGCCAGAAACTAATCACCACTACTTTTTCCATCATTATATTTTGAATATTTTTTAAATTTTTCAAATCAGGTGGTCTGTTTTCTCAGAATCTTAATTTCTATTTTTTGCCCTCTTTGTTCCGTATCTGCGAAACGGTTGGA